TTGGCGGACGTTTGGAGGTATTTGAGGGACATGGTGCTTGTGATAGAGGGGTGCGCCCTGGGGATGTGGGTGGAGAGATGACGGAGGTGACAAGTCAGAGGAGGCTTTGTTTTAAAAGGAGCTTGAACTTGAAGGCGCTGGAGTTATTTAAGCGTTTTGGACAGGGACTGAGCTCTGCAGACGCGCTTTTTGCTTAGATGCTTCAAAGAAAGGCAGTATAGGAGGCCAGGATTTTGAGAGGCCGCTGCGTTGATCCTAGCTCAGAGATGATGGAGACAAGAGAGAGAACACAGAATGCCAAGATTTGGAGGTGGAAGTGAGATGTGCTCGTGTTCAGTTTGCAGTCGGACAATTCACTATCAATTGTGTTAAAGGTTTCTCGTTCTGAACCGCGTTTACATTCACACCTGTTGCCTTTAAAAAAGGGATACTTGCGGGAGAAACAAGGGTCAGTCTTTAAAAGGGAATGGTTTTCGAAAAGTTTGTACTTTGGAACTTGGTTTGTCGTCGGTGGAAGCAGGAATACCTGCACAGGTGAAGACACTTTGGCTGACACGAAGTCCTATTCTAATTAGGTTTTCCACCTTCACTTGTGCCACCAAAGACTGTTTTCGGTTCTCTGTTCTCACTTCCACATATCTACTTTTTTCCTTAACAAATTAGCACCTAAGGTTTATTAATTCCACCAACAGGTGGTCCTGACACATACTACAGGCCTCCCCGTGAAAACGTTTGGATTTTTAATCAGGGTGTTCTCTGCCCACACAGAGTTCCTCCCCAGGCTGCATCAACAGCATCAGGCCTTGAAGCATTTCAATAAGGCCCAGGTTGCCGAGCTGCCGGCAAACTGCCCTTCCCCCTCCAGTCTCCCCAGCGCATCCCAAATACTGAAGAGATGGGGCTGAAATCCTTATTGGAAAGGCTGTCGTGCAGAGCCACTGTTTGTTCTGAGCCTGTGACTGTAAAGGCTCTTGGGAGGAGGGTAGCTGTCCACCCTCCTGGCAACTGATGGAAAGAGATGAGTGCCCACAGCTAATCCACCTGCTGATGAGGGTGTTTACTGTGAAGTGCTCACACTGATTTGCCGTGACATGGTAGTGAAAACAGAACACACCACTCATAATCCAAGTCCTTTCTATGGCAACTTACACATTAAAACATAGCCACATCATCAGCAGAGAGAGACCCAGGCAACCTCAGCCAGGTGGCCAGGCACACACGGGTCTCCTGGTTATTTCCAATCAGGTTCATGTTAGACACCTGTCTCTTCTCCATGCTTTTATTTTAGGCCTTGATGATCTCTGCCAAATATTATTTAGTTCCAGCTATTTGCAAGTATCTGTGCCAGGGTGGCAAGAGGGTTTAAGAGGATCCAGTAAACACTTATCCCTTCTAAGAGTCAGGGACTGCCCCAGACCCTGCAGATAAAAAATACATTTCATATGAGCCCCATCATCCTGGATAGTACATCCTACAGCAGGCGTTCGCAACCTCTGGGATCTAATGCCTAATGATCTGAGGTGGCACTGATGTAATAATAATAGAAATAAAGTGCGCAATAAATGTTATGTACTTGAATCATCCTAAAACCATCCCTCCCCATCCCCAGCCCCAATCTTTGGAAAAATTGTTCTTCCACAAAATCAGTCTCTGGTGCCAAAAAGCTTAGGGATCACTGTCAATCACTCTAAAAGAGGAGCTGAGGCCCAGAACACGGCCCCAGAGACAGGATCAACCCAAATCTGCCTTTGAAGGCTTGGTGGGGGGAAGAGGGGTACAGGTCCCCAAAGACTGAGTGTGAGTTCCACAAGCTGGAGGAGGAAGGGTCAAACCCACTGGGGTCCAACTCACTGCAGAGACACATGGTCTACTCTGCTACCCCATACACTCATACCCTGATATCAGGTGGGGATACAGGCTCAGTACCTGGATGATGCTATTGCCGAGGTCAGGGGAGGCAGGTCTGAGACCAGCATCTCTCCAAACAGAGGACTAGCCACACTCGGGGTGGCTTTCTTCTCATCTAGCCTCTTAGACAGAGACAGTTTTCACACTCCTAGGTTCCCAACACACACACACACACACACACACACACTCCTTGAAAGAGATCAGACATCAAGAAATCAGTTGAAAAGGGGGTAGTTTTGGTCCGCCCACACCCCGCCCCAGTCTTTTCCACTCCTTCAGCTGTTGGTTTTCATTTCAGGTGTATGTGTTCATTTTTGCCACTCTGCATGCCAGTGTCCCCTGCATTGGGAGCTTGGAGTCTCAACCACTGTACCACCAGGGATGTCCTTCATGTTTTGTTATTTTATGGGGGGGGGGGATGTCAAATATTAATATTCATCAGAATCACCCAGGGCAGTTGTTCTCAAACTGGGGCTGGGAAACCAGCATTGGCATCACCTGAGAGCTTATGAGAAACAGATTCTCAGACGCCGCCCAGAACTGCTCAGTCACAAAATGTGATTCACTTTAATAACCCCTCTAGGCGATTCTGACATGCTTGTTTGAGAGTGCTTAACATAAGACTAGTACAGGTTCCTGAACACCATTCACAGAGATTCTGGATCAATCAGAATGATCAAATATTTTGCCCATCTTTGCAGCTTCTCCAAGGGTAATGCCCTTTTGGTCCCATCCAGGCTTCAGCTTGTTTCCTGACCATCCCCTCTACCTTATTGGGTTCACCTGGGCTTGTGGTCAACCTCTCAGTTCAGTCCAGTCACTCAGTCATGTCTGACTCTTTGTGACCCCATGGACTGCAGCATGCCAGGGTTCCTTGTCCATCACAAACTCCTGGAGCTTACTCAAACTTGTATCCATTGGGTCAGTGATACCATCCAGCCATCTCATCCTCCTTCGTCCCCTTCTCCACTTGCTGTCAGTCTTTCCCAGTATCAGAGTCTTTTCAAATGAGTCACTTCTTCACATCAGGTGGCCAGAGTATTGGAGTTTCAGCTTCAACATCAGTCCTTCCAGTGAACATTCAGGACTGATTTCCTTTAGGATAGACTGGTTGGATCTCCTTGCTGTCCAAGGGACTCTCAAGAGTCTTCTCCAACACCACAGTTCAAAAGCATCAATTCTTCAGCACTCAGCTTTCTTCACAGTCCAACTCTCACATCCATACATGACCACTGGAAAAACCAGAGCCTTGACTAGACGGACCTTTGTTGGCAA